GGCGGCAGGACTGAGCGGGTGCCGAGGCCCAGGCCGCTGCCGCGAAAGGTGTCTCAGTTGTGAGAAGCCTCTTTTGTATTTAACGGCAGCGAGTTCCTTACCGTTTGAGAAATAATATTTTTTAAAGATGGTAAAGTACATTTAGTTAGGCACTTTAATATTTTACCGACGTTTTCTTTTAAGTAATTTTTCAATGCTTATTAATATTATGTTGCACATTTTTAAAAGAAGTTACTAATTGAGGTTGCCAGATACTATAGGAAGCATGAATGAGAGACTTTTCTTAATTTCATGGTGATGAATACTGATATACACTTTTATTTGTACCTTATTTTTATTTAAAAATAAATTAAACCTAAAACCCTACAGCTCTCATGTGAGTTAGCTGACTGCTTCTTACAAAATGCGGAATATACTGACTGGATCTTTATTGCTAGAATAAATGCACGCTTTGTAACAAAGTAGTCTGTAGACTAGGGTGTTTCTGCAAGTAGGCTGGAAGTTGTCTCTCTTATCTGGTGAACAGGTTAGTCATTTCAGGTGTCTGTGAACAATGGAGATATAATGCAAGTTATACTGCAGAGAAGTGTGGCAAGAATGTGGTTTGGAGTTTTCGAAACAAACACTCAGTTCATATTATTTTTATGAATAAAAAATACCTGATTTTCAAACAGCATAGAGCGCCTTTCTGGTAAATCTTGATAAGGCTTTTGCGCTATTAGTGTATTACTGTACCTGATGCGTCCTTTTCTTTTTTAGGTGCAATTTATTTTTATTCTTCCAGTTAGTTTCCAGCAGTTTACTAGTAGTGGTTCTCTGCTGTTCCTGAATTTCACTCTAAAATTGTGTAATATATAGGTACAAATGAATCTGTGTACTGGAATCAGTACTGACTAGTATGAAGGCAATACTAGATGAATAAATTTAAGAAATATAAACTGCTGGCTATGTATCAATAAATTTTAAAAGCAAATTGCGAAAGTCATTAACAATCCTGGAAAAAAAAATAGCAAAAATTCTACAGAGCTCTTTGAACTTTATGTACCAGTAGAGTGGGATTGTGGATTTGGTTTTTAAGTACATCATCATCATCATCATGCAGGAGAACAGTATTTGGGCTTAAGTTGTGTCTTAGCAATTAGCATCTAAAGAGCTCTGGAAAATTAATCCCAAGCTGTAGGAACGTGGAGAAAGAAAAGCACCTTCTGTATGTATTTTTTGTATGCCTCCTCTTACTGTTTAACACTCGCTCGAAAACAGATGTATGAACTGCATTTAAAATCATGCTGTTAAAAATATCCTCCCTCTTTTGTTGGGAAGCTCATGTTGATTTTAACTGTGTTTGATTTGTTGATAGTTTAACTGGAAGAAAGTGACCACTTTTTATATTCTCTCAATTAAACCTCCAGCAGTTACAAGCTGTTGATGGTGGTTATAGAGGTTTTCTATAATAAATGTTCAAGTATTTTTGTACATAATTGGTAAATTTTAATAAGGAGTGTACCATTATGTGAAAAAGAAGCAAACAGTTGTGTATGCAGTAAGATTGTTATAATTATGCCAAATACTTTATGTATGGAAAAAAGAATATTTGTAAATATCTGCTTTTAACAATAATTCTGCCATATTGACTTTACAATTTTGAATGTCAGAAAAAATTAATATATGTTAAAATATTTATGTTTTAGTGAAAGTATTCATAACTTGAAAGGAACATATGAATTTTAGCTTTGTATCTTGCTGATTTCAAAGTCTGAAATTCCTTGAACTAGCTCTTGCTTTCAACTATAACATTCTTGTGTCTGTAACCACATCATAAAAGGTGTAGAAGGCTACGTATTTATGCTGATATAAAGAGGTAATGCCTGAGATTTAAATAAGGTGTCACAAGTAAGATAACAAAGCTTCTTTGATTTTTTCCCCCCTGTGTAGTTTAATAGATTTTGTTGACTAGTGCTTGAGCACAGTATGAATCAGTGTTATTTGCTCCTGAAGCCATTTTTTTTATTTCTGGCAGTGAGCAGAATTGTCGAATTTATCATTTGCCTGTATTATTGAAGTCAGCTTTGCAGCAAAACATTTCATGAAGTTTCTGTTTACCCAGACACTCATATTGGTTGCTGCATAATGTTAATATGGAATAAAATGACTTGATTAATCTTTACAGTACAACTTGTTTTCTACAGAATGAGAGATTATAAAGCAGTTTGTCATGGAATTAAAATTCTGTCTCCTTGTCTTGCTAAATGTAATTTTCTTTCTGATAAAAGTCTCCTCCTGGATCTAGTTTTCTCTCTACTTGAATCCCTAATTGCTTTGTGAGACGAATGTGAAGGGTATTGACCTGCTCTTCTGATCAAGTGAAGAATGTAAAATTTGCTATGAGAGTACTGCAAATTAACCTGCATGAGCTCTCTGTTTTTATAACCGAGACATCAGGAAGATGATCTGAATGCCAGCAGACAGTATAAAATTGACAGAGTGCTCTAAAACTGAGCTGACACGTTTTCTGCTTAGCCAGTTTTGACAAATTGATTTTGTAGATTAACTTTTCAACTTGATTCCCTATAAAAATGTAGTATGAACTCCTTTTTCTTTTTTGTATCATGCAACACCCAGAAAAGTTAAAAAGCTAATGTAAATAAAGGTGTCATTTGAATTTTATGCATTACTCATAAATGTAGTTTTATCTCTTTCTAGATGACAGTAATTCAGAAGCTTGTAGAAAGGTACCTAGGAGAACAACTTACTTGTTTTTATACTAGCTTGAATGTTAGCCAGCATAGGTGTAATAGTAGTGAATAATTCATCGGTGATGCTGGTATGGGTGGGATGGCTTTAAATAGTGCAACCCAGACTCCTCATGATGGGCTAATGCCTGTAACGTGAGCGAACTCAGTTATCACAAAACCTTAAGTCACATCAGAGTGAGTAGGCTTTGTTTTTAAAGAAGCACAAAGGTAAAGTCTTTCAAATAAAGATAATCAAGGTTTCGAGGTAGTGCCGCTGTGCCCTGTTCATGTGGGCAGGGAGTAGCTCCAGAGAAATCTTTTATGTGAAGATGGCACCTTGCTGTCCTGCCTCGCTGTTCTTATTTACCAAATCTCTGGTAGAGTCCACAAAAAGCACAGCAACGGGGCAAAAAGATACAGGCAGGCAGGAATTTGCACCTGAAGTGCTAAAAAAGCAACTGGCTTTGAGAGCGAGGCGGGCAGTGAGGCGCAGCAGAGCAGCGCGAGGGGCCGAGCGCGGCCGGTTGCTGGGTGTCCTGCGGGCCTGGAGGAGCCTCCGCGCGCGCTCAGTCGCGGCAGGGCAGAGCCGTCCGCCTGTGGTGAGCGGAGCTTCCCCAGCAGAGGGCTTGGCCTTTAGGCCTCTAACCAGGCCCCACCAGACTGGGCGAGAGAAGAGGCTGCGGGCATGATCTGTGCTTAATTTGACTGAGCCCTCTCTGCGCCATTTCAGCTTTCCACAAGTCTTTCACATACAGAAAAACAGGATGATTCATTGCTTTGGTTAACGTTAACAAAAATCCTGTGATTAAACAAGTCAAAATTGGGAAGCTTCAAGGATATGAAAGGCTGAGAACTGCATTCCTCAGCTTGGGCACTAAACACCAGGATAGAGTGACTCTCTCAAAGTGATGTTTTCTTTTTTTCTTTCCATTTTGCTATGGCTTACCAGGGAAAGTTGACCAAGAGAGAGATCTGGTTGCCATGAATTGCAAAGGAAAAGAGTTTCTAAATCTGTAAGTGCTGCAAATTATTAAAATATTTTTCTATTTTTGCTTCACAGTTTTTCCTTGGTGATCTTTTGCCCCAGTGCGCACATTGCATTTTGCACTGAGCATCACAGTCTTTTAGGAAGAAAATCCTTGACCAAATTTCAGAGGAAATGGCTGCTCTGATAAAACTTGTAAACTCCAGAAATGTCTATTACATACTCAAGTGTGTTTTGCATCATTGCTTTACTCTTAGTGCTAGATCCACTAGTGCATCTCAGTTGGTTCTGACACTAAAAATACCACTCAGTGACAGTGGGGAAGGGCCTGCAGAGACCGAGCTTCGCCAGAGAGTGAGTGCAATCCCAGCACTCTCTGGAAAGGGGCATGCATTGACTTTCCTCCCCTTCCCCTCATTCCTCCTCCTTTTGAAGGAAGTGTGTTGCAGGTATAAAATGTTTTTTAAGGAGTGGAGCTGAGCACAGGGCAAGGAGAAGGGAACAGTTTCTGTAGAAAGAGCAGTGCTGACTCTGAGTACCTCGGATGACTTGAGAGATGGGTGCCATGGGTCTTGGGCCAACAGTGACTCATAGGACGTAAGTCTTGGAAAGATGAGCCCTTACGCTATGACTGCCATTGGGTAGAGCGAAAGCCACAAGCTCCCTGGTGCCAGCTGCACAGGCTCTTTGAGGACTGTCCTGAGCCAGTCTCCTCTTGGTCGTCTGTCGGGGGAAGAGGGCTCGCTGCAAGGGCACCGTGAGAGGCAGCCAGTCTTCTGAGGGCTTCTGCTCGACGCATTTGTTAGGACAGTGCAGCAGTAAATCCCAAGATGTGATACAGCACCCGCCAAAACGAATGCAGAGATTCAGATGGACTTTGTTAGAAACTGGCTTGTTTCCAAGAGGAGTTGGGTGAAAGCAGCTGCTACCTATTGCCTTGTAGTCCTATCTGAAGAAAATAAAACAGCCCAACGCTGATGACAGCACGCGTTGTAATGAAAAAAACACATCAATAGCTCTTCAGCTTTGTATTTGCAGGCAGTGCCTTAGGAGATGCAGCAGCAAATATTACTGTGTGCGCTGTCCTCAGGCCATGAAGCACAGCAAAGACGGTGCTTACCGGCAGACGCCTTGTGTGCCAGGAGAGCCTCCCTACAGCTGTACTCCTCCCTCCTGATCCCGTGTCTTAGAACTACAGCCTATGTTGTCAGTACTGCCAAAACCATAATTCTGTAGCATTTTTATTGCTTTAAAACCTGAGCTGCATGATGATAAATGAAACCAAAGAGTAAGAAATGGCTTTGAACATGCAGGCAGGGAGCAGGGAGGAAAAGAAGGGCTCTGGCTGATCCTTAATCCCAAATTGTTCAAGGGTGAAGTTCACTTCTAAACTGTGAGTTTGCTGGGGTGTTTGAATATCGATCAAAACCAGCTTCCTAATCTTAGAGCAGAGTCGGCCGGCCCTGCGGCGCGGGCTGTGTTGGCGCAGGAGGCCCAGCCTGAAGCGCCACCCGGCTGCCCCGGGCGCGCAGGCGGTGTTTGGAGTATCCTGTAAGCACCAGACGGATTAGCCACAGAAAGGATTCCCACGCTGGGAACAGCCTCCTCCCTCAGTGCCAGCCGCTCTCTGCGCTCCACGCGGAGGGGCTGTGGCCCTGCCCAGGCCGCCTTGGCAGCTCGGCCAGGGCAGGGGCATCAGCGGAGCAACGCCGAGAGGAACAGGGCTCCCCAGGGCTGCGCTGCCCAAACGTGGCCCAGGTGGCTCCTGGCTGCGCCGCCAGCCCCGCACACCCCGAGGGCAGACGGTTTTACGGTACCGCTCTGCCTTCCTGCGCGCTCAGCAGTGCTGACGAGCTGCAGCGCATGGGGCGGCTGCTGGCTGCGGTGAGCGGCAGCACCGGGGAGATTGTCAGATTCGAAAATAAAAATGCCATTTATTTTGTTCTTTTAGATTTACGGCCTTACTGTTCCTGTGGTCTGGGGGGAAAAAAAATAAAAAAAGCAAAAAACAACCCTGCGCTTATTGAGCTTAAGAAGCGGGCAGCTTTGAGGATTTTTAGATCTTGCCAGTGAGGCTTTTCTGCTTCAGTGGTCTTTTTTTTTTTTGAAAGCATCACGGGCTTGCAAGGGATGAGGGATGTTTGCAGGAGCTGTGCTACGTGAAATCAGACACAGCTTGAATGACAGTGCTCCAGCAAGACTGGCTCATTAGAGAGATTTGTATTCCACGCAGAGCTGGAAGAAAAGTGACTGACCACGGATACCTGGAGCAAGCACTAGAACGCGGAAGCTGCAGCAGAAATGACAGCAGATGGGAGGGTCAGCTTGTTAACTACATTTATCCAATTAAAGGCTTTGCAAGTATTGTCAGGTAACAATAAAAAGCCATCATCTGTCAGCAATTTCACCTGGCCATAATTGATCATCATTAATAAATCTGTTCCAGAGCTCTGGTGCCTTGGACTGATTAGCCAAGGATTGGTGCTTTGGACTGATTAGCAAACTGCTGAAATGAGTTGGTTTGTTAGGGTGGTGAAAGGGGCCAAAAAGTGATCTCCTTTGAGCCAGCGGAGCTATTTTGTGAAGGTTTATTGGGTGCCTAAACACTTGGCTAGCTTGCTGGGTTGTCCTTTCGCAGAGAATTTGCATACTGTGCAGTAGAGGGCTGCAGGGCTGATAACACAGAAATGAATGCTGCCATTGGATTAACCTGAACTTGTTCTGAAAACCACCACTTTATCCCTGAGTTCTCTAAGGAAGAAACAGGTAGACAGGAGCTTAATTCCATAAATAAAAAGAGCCTTGGCTTAAGCCAGATCAGGAATTTATTGTTATTGTAATGACACATTATTGACAAATTTAAAACAATGCATTGGTCTTATACAGACTCCTCTCAGCGGAGCCCAGGGAGAGGACGGGCAGGAACAGCCACAGACGGGCACCCCGGCAGCTCTGTCCGAGCAAGAGGGAGACTTCGTGACTATGGGGGTGGTGCTGGAGCAGGTTGTTCTGAGAGGCTGCAGAGACTCCGTCCTTGGAGATGTTCTAACGCCACCGGGACACGACCCTGTGCCCTGTGCTCTGGGTGTCCCTGCAGGGGGGTTGGACTCGATGATCTCCAGACGCCCCTGCCAGCCTCAGCCAACATGTGATTCTGCGAGAACTGCTGTGCTGAAACGTCTGCGAGTGCTTTCCGTGGAGGCAGGATCTCTCATGCCAGGAAACATCACGCCACGCTGTCCTTAGGCAGCTTATTTAGCAGCACTAAAAATAAATTAATATGACATAAAATGACATATATATATATATTTTTAATCCCCGTGTCTGGCTGTGGTGCAGTCAGCAGCCCTTTGCAAGGGCTCTCGCTGCAGTTTCAGCGGGAGCCGCCCAGCTGCCGTGACCCAGCTCTGCCTCCTGCTTGGCTCCGGAGCCTCGGGCTGCAAGCCCGGAGCGGCCCATCGGCCTTGCCTGCTTGGCCTGTGGAAATAAACCACACTCGGTGAGAACAGCCCGCTGCAAACTAATGGGCAGGCCCTTGTCCTTAGGCAGCTTCCCAGTGGGAAATCATGGCATTACAGAGCCAGGAAAATATTTAACAAACAGCACTAAATCAGAACAGCTCAAGTATTGACTCCACGTGGGGTGCTCTTGTCCTGGATGATAAGGTTATTAACTTGCAAACATTACTTTAGGAATCCTCATCACCCGAGGAAATATGTTGCAGGTAATATTCAAAAGGTCAAAAATATTTTCAGTTATTCAGAAGAGTTTATACAGTTTTGCATAGACATGCTCTTACAGCACTTTGAGGTCTCTTTCATTGCTGTTTTTAAATTTTTTTCCTAAGTGTGTTTGGAGTAAATCATAGAGGCTGCAGGTAGATAATAAAGATGTTAGGTGGGTGTGTCAAAGAATAGTTTGTTATGGTTTTGCTCATCTCATAAAAATACTTAACCAAAACACTTTTGCAATTTTCACATTTCTGTGTTGGTTCGCCTGTTAGGACTGTTTTAAATGTAGTGTTCTATTCTTAGGGTTTTTAATAGGCAGATGTGTTATGCAGTTGGGAATAACTGCTCATAACTGGAATCCTTTATACAACTGAAACCGGAATAACTGCTCATGTCTTTGCCTAACTGGAATCCTTTATACAACTGAAACAAAAGTATTTAAACTTCTAGACTGGTTCACTAAAATAGTCTTGCTCCAGGCTGCTTGCAACTTACAGAATTCTTTAAGCTCCCCTTCTTGTCAACGTGGGGGTCTCGGACACCACTCACACGATCAGTGTGATCAAGCAGTGCCAGTTTATTCAGGGTTCCAATCGCGCTTATATGCAAGACTTCCCCGTACACGCGAGCGCTTCTTTACAAGGATTGGTCAAGACCCCAAGGCCATGCGTCTAACTATACAGCGGGATAGGCTAACTAACAGAGGCTAACTAACAGTGCCCACGTGTCCTCACATTTAACGACCGTCCCCCTCTACCTGTTTGTCTTCAATTCTTTGACTCCTTATCTGATTGCTCCTTATCTTTTCCGGCACCCTGGTGCCCCTCTGGTGCCCATCTGCCCTTTTGTCTAGGCCTAACACCTGTCTGCCCTTTTATCTAGGTTTGGTGCCTACCTGGCTTGCTCACAGCATGACCACTGGCCTTCAGGAATCTCACACCTTCTCTCAGATCTTCCTGTCTAACAGGGATATGAAAAATGTAGGTATGGGTGGTACCTACTCAGAGTGAAAGTGGAAGCTCTTTAAGCCATTTACAAGCCAGTAGTTCAGGGCAATCTTCTCGAAAGGTCAGTCCTGAAACACTCCCTATGCGGCACAGAACTGAAATTGCAGTCAAAGCTGGGCTTTATTTCTGCAAGGCGTTCTGCTAGCGAGTGCTGCTGCACGTCAGAATTTCAAAAGTCCTTTTGGATGAGCCACCAGCCAAGGTGCCGGTCGGCAACCAACGTTCATGCCACAAACAAACGTGCAAGATAGAGGCAGTCAAGCTTCTACTTGGCCGTTGATGCAACTGACAGCAACGTCGCATGTTGCAATCAGCAAGTGCGTGGCAGGGTGGAAGGCACAATCTGCCAAATGGGAAAGTCAAAGGAAATCAGGAACTGCATGAATACAGCTAGTGCATTAAGCCTTTGAGATTCAATAATTACCAAGAAAGAAAAAAAAAGTATTACACAGAATGTCAATGGAAAAAAAAAAGTTTAAATCACCAAATTTGTCAGAGTGAATTTTGAAAAGTCTTTATGGAATCGTGAAGTTACCCAGGTGCACAGATTTCCTTTACCTCTCCAGTCCTGAATTCTGAAATCCATTTACCTTCCCATGACGATTTCACAGCAAACTAAATATAAAGGAAATAAAGGAAAGAAAAAAAAAAACCACCCCAAAACCCAATCCAACCAAAACCCAAACACAATAAGCCCCATCTACTCTTATCCCTAAACAAGGAGAACAGATTTTTAGTGGTTATCTTAAAACTGTATTTTTGTCCGCACGGAGAGAGACAAACACACTTTTAAGGTGAATTTTGTCCTGATAGATCTGAAGGTTTATATCCTGGTAAGTCCCCTAATTAGAGCTGAAGTAGGACTTAATACATAGGATTTCTAATGTTTCCCAGAAAACAAGTGAATTTTAATCCAATCTCTACACATTGCAGTGGATGGCAAGGAGAAGAAGAAAGGCAGAAGCATCAAAGTTAGGGTCTTGTGTCCTATATTAGAGCCGTTTAAGTTTAAACTAGGAGTGCATTAGAACATTTGTTTCCCTGAGAGCAAGATAAACCCAGTTTGCTAAGGACCAAGTTTGCTAAAGACTAGTTTGCTAAGGGATTCATCCAGCCATAATTGAAGGCCCTGCTACACGATTTTTTAGGAAGCTTATCAGCTGACACTATATTCAGTGATAAACTTTTGATTTGAAGCTCCAAGTTATCCCTTGCTAAGCCTTGAAAGTTTCACTGAGTAGACGTCCATCTGAGAAGAGCTTTCAGGGTGAAAATTAGGTGGGTAGTGAGCTTACTTGTGAATGTACAAATACAACTAGATTACAAATGTGACATATTGGTGCTATTATTGTGGTCCATTTCCATGAAAGATCTGAAAACCTGCAGTGTAATGTACTCATTGGTCCAGGAAAGAGGGAATAGGCATATGTCTAATTAAAGCCTAGGTAAGGCTTTACAATAATTTCCACTGATTTTCCCTCACTTCTACCCCTAAATACTGCATATTGAACTCCCGATTCGCAGCTCGTAAGCTCTGGCTTCAGCAGCTCATGCATGAATATAAGGACCAAGCCTACATCTGCCTGAGAACGTCATTATTTGGGAAGGTATTTTAAAATGGGTGAGTATGAAATGAAAAACAGAGACCTTTTGTGAGTATTGAAAGAAACCTTTAGCATCATGTATTAAGTGTTTTTTAAGCTGCATGATGGGAAATGAAATTTGGCATAGCATCTGACCTGGCTGCATTAGGTTTGACTAATTTATGTGCCTTTGGAAAGAGCATGCAGAGTGGATTAGTTGTGAGTTCATGGAAGAATGTAGTTCAGCATGCGGACGTGGCCAGCAGCTAGAAACTGGAAAGGGAGCCAAATTCTTATTTCTATCATGTCTTCTTCACCTGTTACTGCCCTCTAGCAAGGCTGGTGCAAAGGAGTTAGTTTGTTTACCTGTCGAGTGTACTCAGTCCCTGCCTAATGGGTGCACCAAGGTGTGTTGGGTGGACGACGACAGCCAGAGAGAGGAGTGTTCACATAATTTTCTTCCAGAAGTTTTCCTATAAAATACATATAAAATGACACTGAGAGAGCAGATGGCAAGAAGAGACACGCTCTTTAACAACATGAGCCATACAACCGTCGTTCTCCCTGGCACCACCACCTAAATTCAGAACACCTTTCAAAATGCTTGTTTTGCAAAAATGGCCCATAGGACTCGAAGCTTCTTTCCGAGGAGCAGGTGACAAGCAGATGGGGTGTAAGTCTAAGGTGTAACAAAAACATCAGACTTGCCTCCTTTGAAGTCCCGTAGGATCGAGTTGAAAGGATTAGGTAGCTTAGTGTCCAAACTGTATGCCAAGCAGAAACTATTTGGAAAACAAATGTTAGTTGAGTTTGCATTCCCTCCGAGGCCCGATGTAGCCGGCAGCCTTCGAGGATGCCTGAGTGCTGAACGAAGCAGGAGCTATGCGAATTGCAGGGGCAGGTCCTCATGTCCAGCCTGGCAGCAGCAGCAGAAGTCACTGCCTCCTCTTCTGTACATGGAGCCGGCCAAGCTGTTCAGTCTGGGATGTATGGATCACTCCTGGGAACTCCAGGGCTCCGGAGATTGAAACCACAAGGGGAGAAGGAAACTGGGATTGAGCTCTGATGCTTCCTAGCAGGGTTGTCTCTGTGGTGCTCCTACAGTAAGCCCTGCTATTTTGTAACTGCTTATTTACATTCTGTGAGCAACCTGATCCCTTGGTATGTGTGGAAGACGCTCTCTGATAATTCGTATCGGATTTAGCTGAGGCTTAAATATTGCTCTACTTGGTACTTGGGTTTAGATATGTACAACTGTAGTTTTATCTTGTGGGGAAGCAGGATTTTACAGGGGAGTTGCAGGTCAGATGAGGAATTACCTGCAGCGTGGCACGGCAGCTGAGCTGTGGGGTTTGCACCACAGCTCTGCGCTCATCTCAGCTCTGCATCTGCTGCCACAGCCCTCTACTGGCTCTAACTTCATGTATTCTGAAAGGGATTTTCCTGGGAGGAGGGAGGGAGAGACAGAAATTCAGTTCTAGGAAAGAGCAGTAGCTGCTCTGTGAAGATTTTCGTTTCAGGAGGTGTGGATCTAATTTAAAGACACACTAACTTACTCTAGGCTGTGCTGAATCAATGTCAAAATTGATTCAGCAAACAGGATGTGCTCAGAACAGGGTGACCTGACAACTGGTAATAAGGCCCCAAAATACATACTAAATAAGGGGGAAAAGGCCACTTGCTCTTAGCAACGACACCCATTGTTCTCCTGTTCTCCTGTGTCACGTGCTTGTTTTAAATATATTAGCAAAGATTGCATTATGTTTTCTAAATTAAAGTCACTGGAAAAAAAACCCATGAAGTCCCGTGTTGCATGAGTAAAGGAAGCTTCTCAAGCGCGCTTTGCTAGGGCCGTTGCCAGCGCCGCAGCGACGGGCAGGCGCTGCCCCTGCGCTTGGTGCTGGGCCGCGCTGCTCGGCGCCCTCGCGCCGCGGTGAGTGCAGCGCAGGCTGTTGTCTGGCAGAACCCGCGGGATCACACAGGCCGCCGAGCACAAAGCGGCTGGCGGGGGCAGCTGGAAACAAAAGAAGCTGAAAAACTGTGGCCCTCCTCGGCAAAGTGCTGCACCCAGGGTTACTGCACGGGGGGGCAGCCGCAGGCGCGTTTTGCAGTTACGCAGCTTAATTGTTCCCGGCTATTATAAAAGGCTCTTTGTTTCTGCCATTTGTCTTTCATACTCACCCACACTCTCTATTATATTGGCCCCAGTGTGTCCCCTACCAATGCCGCCAGCCTCCCATTTGCCGTTTCAATGCGGCTCGTGCCTCATTTTAATTTTGCCTGGCCTCTGCTGTTCAGCGTTCCCGTCTCAGTAGCTCTCCGCCTGCTCCCCTACTTCCATTTCAGCTCCCACTCTCTCATTTAAAACTGCTCACGCTGATTTTACTTAATGCAGTATAATTATGGGTAGTGTTCTTTGGAGTTCTTTGGAGGGGGAAAATAATGTCACTTTTCCTAGACCAGCATGGAAAATTGACACAATATTAAATTTCATGCACACAGTTTAAGGCCCGAAGGATGAAGCAAACAATGGCCATTCCCTTACGAGTGGGAAGGGGGGGGTTGGCACAGGCCATTTTTGGGTTTGCTTGAGGAACATCCTGAGGCCAATGACCTGCAAATTTGTCTATAAGAAACCAATCAAAAAGCAAAAGGAAAGGCAGAGGGGAATCTGCAGAGACAGAGTAACACTGAGGGAAAGACTTTGCTTTGGCTTCCTTGGTAAAATTCATTTAAAGAATAATTTTGTAAAAATGTAATAATTACAACTATTTATATCTATAAGCAATGTGGTTACCTAATAGAAATGGTTACATTTTTACGACAGGGGCTGCCTGTTGACCCTCTCTGCCACAATCCTCAGCCAAGCACCCGGACCTGCCGGCCCTCCGTGCAGTGCCAGGCCTGGAGAACGGGCAGCTCCACGGGTATCTCCTGCACACCCAGGCGCCCCCCGGCCCGGGTCTCCTCACCTGGCCTTGAACTGCTTCTGTCATCCGTGGAGCAGCCAGCACGACCTCACTCCTCAGCAACCACAGCAGAACCAGCGTGCGCAGGGGCCTTGGTTTTCCAGCACAGTGCTCCTGTGCCCAGGCTTGTGCAAGAGCCGTGTGGATATGCACGGGCATATGGATCTGAGATGGCCACGCTCTGGCCATTACAGTTATGCTTGTCCATCGTGAATACAGGCATGATTCTGCCATTAGCCATGAGGTAACTTGCTGGCGGGTTCTCATCACCTGAAGGTTGTGTGGTATCAGTGACACGTATGCCCAGCCGCGGCGGGTCAAGCGCTGGCTGAGGGAGCCTCGCTGCAGTGGGGGGATCTTGGGTTTGCATGTGAAGAAAGTAATATCTTCCTCTTTTCAGGGCAAAGAATAAACACATCACTTCAGGAAATTACAACAGTAAAAATGGTAC